CGAACCTGCGGACTATGTCGATAATTAAATTTTTATGTATTACAGTGCGACCCGAACAATAAACAAAGTGGCGTTCGGGCGTTGGATCTCCAATAATTATCAGCTCGGTGTTATTTCCAGTCAGCATGATTCGCATCGAGGATCCTCGTGTAAGTGTTGTACACGCCGATCATTTCAGCGTATACAAACGTAAATAAAATAAAGGTATAACTGAAAATAATGAAAATTTCCCTATAGCACCGCATGATCACCGCGGAAAATCTAACGCCACATTGAAAAGTATACGTCAAATCACATTAATTTCAAAATAATTAACGAATGAAAACTGATTGTTTCGATTGATGGACCGAATAACTTCAATTTGTTAAACGTATAGCCGATGCACGGTTACAAGATAAAGTTATAGTTGTTAAAAGAAATTATATTTTTCATTGAAATCGATTTCTTCTCGAGCCATAAATTCATTGTTCGAAATGATACCTAAAGAAAAATTCTCGTTTAATAAAATACGCATTTTCATCATTTTGTACTCGATGCGTTGCTATAGAACTAATTATTACATTATAGTTTAAAAAGTTTAAGATAAGGAATATTTTTGATTTATACTTATGATTTAAAAATAAAATCCACCTACATGAACTATCGAAAACGTTAAAATGTCACGTATCTAACGTTCGAAAGCAAACATTCTTATTTTATGAAATGCAATGGATAGAATTTTAAGTTCAAGTAATATGTTACAAGTTTGGCATTAAGTTTTAACGATTAACAACGACGATATAAATACACATAAAAGTGTAATGTTTGTTTTGCTGTTGCACTTTTGTTGCACCAATAACTATTGAGTTCTATAGATAAACATTAAGTTGTGTACATTTTCAGAGTAAAACGTTTAGTCATGAAATAATTATATTACATTCTATCACACAATATGCGGCTCTAGTATTATTACATAGCATACTATTCTAACAACATGATCAATTTTAAGATCTTTAATAGAAACTGTACTATATAACTATATTATTTTATATATTATGTGCGGCAAATTTAGACACTAACACAATGTGTTTAACTCAAAAATTATTTTTTGTTGTTATATTGTAACGGTCGTTACAACGTCTACATTTTGTTATTATTCTTTGGATATTTAACTGACTAGCTTTTAACGAAATTGGCCGGTACATAAATATGTATATATATATATATATATATATATGCACATAAAAAATAATTTCCAACGTGGTCCTCCGAAAACGACGGCCATCTATTAATATTATGTTTTCGTGTTGTTTTGCAAGTTTTATCTCGTTTTATTAAAATAAAATCTTGTTTTGTTTTTTGGTTCGGAAGGGGTTTTCCACCCTTCCGAGCATTTTCCGCAGTAAAGTCTCTTGATCAAACTATACATTTATATTTGTCTTCTTTTTATTGTTTATTTTTGTACTATACAACGAACAATCTTACGTATTCTATTATTTCGGTTTCCGAATCTCAGTATTAAGTAAGTTTCTTTTGGTATTGAATTAGATGTCTAGTTTCTTAAACAAATATTATTAGACGAGAGATTCATTACTGTCTCATAACCATCAAACAAATTTTATCATTGCTCGGTGCCACATTTGTCCACATTTTTTCTAAATCATTTGATTTATTCACAGAAAACTTTAAAAAAACATACCTTGTTAATAAATTGAAATATTTTGATGAATATTAGTTAAATAATTGCATAATGGAAACGTTTTAATTTTACGTCAAATATAGTGTAAGCAATATAGTTTTAACTGCGAAAATAATAATAAAACGTGTCATTTAATTTCTAGTTCTAATTGAACACCACCAAGTATTACACAATATGAATAATTTACAACGTCCTACCTTATAAACTGTTCAGTCCGTTCGTTTGGAAATCGCATACCGGGCTACTTGCTTGTTTCGTTTCACAATGAAATCGTTTGACGGTTGACAAGAATAAACCGCGATCACGTTTTTCATCATATTTCAAGTACGATAGACGTTTGCACTTTTAACGATATTTGTTCCACAACAAACACCTAGGACGAAGTAAATCATGATTAGTTCATCGCCACGGGTCCTTTTACTTTTGAAGACGGTCATCGAATATGCCGGCGGTCATCAAAACCGCACACATTTATTCTATTGTTAAAAAGGGAAATTTGGAAGGTCAATAGTTCAAAACCGCACACATTCGATTAACAGTTCTTTCTCCCTGCATGCTTTGCATTCACGGTTCACGTTGCCGTTTCGTATGATCCCCACTCATAATCGTTTTTTATATCCTGTGACCTATTCGGGGTGGTGTTTCATAGCAAATCGGGGAATATTTTCGTTTTTTAACTGTCCGAGCGAGCGAGTGACCCCGCCCGATCTCGAGGTGCACTCGTGTTATTTTAGATAAATGTATACGTTATTGATACATATATATCAATGTGTGCGGTATTGAACGGTTTTATTTGACGAACATATGCGGGAATAAAATATAAAAGTGTGCGGATTTGAATGACGACCTGTTTTTTAAGGTGTGCGGTTATGAAAGACGCCCGAATATGTGCGTCCGGTCCACGAATAATATATTCGTAATAACACATGCTCGTGCGCCGAACCGATAGACGAGACGAAATGTTAACGTCTAAAAAATTATTTTAATTGTTATGCCGTGTCATCGCTTTGTTCACTCCAAAACAAATCGATGCAGAATTAAGGATTTATTTTTAAACGTTCCTTGGTTATTTACTATTATTCGAAACATTTCAATTGTGAATATTATTTTTTATAATTGAACAAATTTCAGTATATAATTGAAACATTGTACGCTTTTTACGTTGGACGGCGCACCGCATAGGCAATTCAGGTGCTTTGTTGATTTTTATTTTACATTTTGGTAGGATTTCGGGGATGATTCCGTAAAGTTATGCACATATACTGTCGAGTACATTATTATTATCGTTATATATTATATATTATTGTTATTATCGAGTGCATTGATTATACAAATATCAGAAAGCTTTATACAAGTCATTTATGTTCAGATATAATCCAAGCTCAATAATTCAACTACAGAATAAATAAATAATAAAATAATAAAAGAGCAATTGTCGACCAAAATTCGATTTACATTTACTAGATTAAAATGTTCAGCGATCGAGTTGGTGCGTTTAAGTTGGTGACAATTAGCTAACATAATAATCTATGATATTCGACTATTTTAAATTAAAACGCAAACAACGTTCAAAACGCTATTTCGGCAGGTTTGAGCCTGTGTTGTTAGAGTTGTATTTGACAATGCAATACACACATTTAGATATAAGTATTTCATGATTCGTTGTAGAAACGGTCAATTAAGATGCAATCGAAGTGATCGGGATAACTGCATAAAATCGTTACGAAAAAATGTGTAAAATAAAATAGTGTGTAAATTAAATTTTTTTTTATAATATTTGATAATTTTCCTTATGTATATTTTAATGTATATGTTGTATACATTACATAAAATATACTATTTCTCATCGTCAAATATACTTTTTAGAAATAAAATACAACCCATAATATAATTTAATTATTTTATTGTTACTCTCAAAAAAACCTACCACTTGCTGCACAGTGAGGTGGTGAGACACACGTCATTCCGCTTATGACAACCTTTTTTTAAAACTATTAATTTTTTTTATTGAACGACAATATTGCTTTATACGATAAAACACTACTTTAATTTTGTATTTGTATTATATTTTTTTTTTCTAAAAAATCGATACCCGTGCAGCCAAAATAAGGTCATTTTTTAGATTTCTGTGCTGAAAATACTTACCGAACCAACAATATATTATTTCTATTGAAAAATATTCATAACGAGGACGATGCATTGCGTTCATGCGAAACTTCACTTGAACCAATAATAGTGAATGCAAATAAAAATCGTCTTCCCCGTACACGCGAGTAATTGCTTTTGGATAGTTTCATATTTTGTTTTTTTCTTTTTTTTTAAATCCAAAAAATACCGAAACGGTGTGTGTTGTCCGAATGTAATAGGCCGTCTCGCGAAATGATATAACTCTTTTTTCGGATGGTTATTATCGTTGGAATGATGTTCGTAATAATTATCAAGTATTAACGTAAATAGGACGATGCTCGAATATGCGTATGAGGTGGACGGAGGACCGAGGCTACCTTTTTACGATATGTGGTTTGAAATATTAATGTATGCGTTTACGCGCGTGAAGCGGTGGACAGCGGTCGAGGTACTCGAACGAGTGTCGACCACACGACCCGGGTCATCGGCGATCGAACAATCGGACGAGTCGACGGCTGCTCCGAAAACTGCCGTTCTAGCATTGGACCACGATGGTCGGAGATCGGTCGTCGGGGTGTGACACGCGGTTACCAGTGTTGAGACTAGGAAATTTTACGCCCGGGGAAAATATTAAGATTACGCCCTATCATAGACCAATAATCAAAAAAAATATTATTCTCAAGAATTTTTTTTCTAATAATCGGTATACAAACATACTTATTGAGTTTTAACAGAGTTAAACATATGAAATTAGTTGTTAATAATTAGAAAAAATTACACCCTTTAAAATCTTACACCCGGGGATGAATCTCCGTCTTCCACCACCTATTACCGCCGCTGGGTGCTGCGATATCGAAAACCGCGTGCACGGCTTAATCATTATATTATTATTATATCATTATATCATTATTAATCAGTACGGTAGTCACACGTATCGCCGTCGTTGTTTTTAGCTGCGGAACTTTGCACCCGTCGTTCCGGTTAACGTCGAGAAGGTGTGGTGCACTGCAGTCGTCGTTGGTCTAACCTTCTATCCTGGCTTTTGGAAACGTTCGGACGGAGAAAGGTTCGAGGTGGACGTTGTAGTGATCACTATGCACACACGCTGCGATCGGTCACCACAGTTATTGTTTAACGACGTCGCACGATCTTCGTTAGCCTTAGGTGATTGTGAGACTGATAGGTATTTGAATGATAATTAAACACTTTTATTGACACTTTTTATTAATCAACACAAGAAAAATAATAAACAGTTCAACCAATTCAATACTAGACAAGAAAGATCAGTTCAGTCCGGGTAAAAATTATGTAGTCGCGGCGATACGGCTGTAACATTGTCCACGACGAGCAATAATTAACAAAAAGGGAAAAATGACCAGCCTAACACTGTCCAACTCCTAACTATCTATCTTCTACCTTACATTAGGTGCCCCTATCGTGTTTATACAAGGGCATGTAATTCGGAAAAATTAACTAGACAAAAAAAAAAAAAAATAATAAATTTACAAATTACGGTATTCTTCGAAATACATGAAAATACGTTTTTTAACCACCTTCTTACGTGCTACGTACAACATATATTAATTAACTATCTGTTTTTATACAATGCAACGACGCGTCGTGACGCCTTTATTTATTAGTGGTCATCGGGTTTACTTCATCGTGGAATGGTATTTTTTGCGCGGTTCGCGTTCGGTTCATAAACATATATTACCGTAACGACTAGCTAACTTGTTTGCAAACTTTATGCTAGCGATACGGCTTTCGTTGTTACTCGGCCCTTATTGCTTGTACCAACGATCTGCCCTAACCGTAGACACCGTTTTCCTGTCCATCGTTCCTCTTTGTCACCGTCGATCATCTATTCGTTCTCGTCTCCCGTGTCCGTCTGCCGGTATACAGTACACGTTGTTGCGCACAACGCGTGTAGCACGGTGTGATCGGTGGCCTTGGAAAAGGATTATTTTTTTTTTTTCACAAACGCCTGAACAACTAATCCGTGCCGTAACAGGATTAGTTGTTTGTATTTCATGACGTTTCGAAACGATAAGATTATACCTGGTTTTTCGATCCGAGAGCATAACACGCGTCGCTCGTCTGAAACGCGGGTGGCTATAACTCCGGCCGACCGTCCGGGCATTACGTGGAGAACCGTAGGCCAGTAGCTCGTCGTCACGGATCACGTACCAATCCGTTGTCGAACAATCGAAATACGCGCACACGAATAAGCTCGTGCGTGCACGCGGCGCGTACCGATATGCATTTTGAATTGAATTATAGGGAAAGAAAAAAAATCGAATAGAACGTTGCGGTAAAAAGAGACGAAAATAATGTTTTCGCAGCGTTCCACCCTGTTCCCCGTGCGAACAGCAAACTTACTGACGTCTCCGGATCGCGAGACACTCCGGGTATTGTGCACGTTGGATCGCTATGCGCCGAACTGCGCCGTAAAAAACGAGATGCATAATAACCCGTACTTGATAATATCGGTCCCCGTCGTCGACCGATCAAGAGCAGACGTCGACGCGCACGAGGCATGAAATCGACATAACAACGGCAAGTGCTAGTTGAAATGGAGACCAAAAAAAAAAAAAAAAAAAAATAAATAAATAAATAAATAAATAAACGAATAAAAAGTTTGTAAACGAGGATTAACGAAACATCGAAATGGAATATTGAAATTCCGGACGGTGTGGTTCGTAGCGGTGCCAACGGATAATTTTCCACCGTCCGACCTACGTAGTGTACGATACGTAGAGTGCCCTGTAAAACCGATTCGGACGATAAACAAACGTGTGAGCGTTCCGTACGCGTTTTAAATAATTTACCTTATTAAATGGGCCCGGATATAGGCACGTCGTGCAATATGTTTATGAGAATTTACAGGTTTTCGAATAATCGTTTTAGGATTTGATTAAGAATTCATGCACTGTCCAAAGTTACTTTACGTGTGGGGCCAGTGGCAAAAAAACACTTTCCACGCCGTTTTCAAACGTTGCGAATCCGGTTGAATTTCAAATATCCCGTGATTTGACGATCAACTGCATTTTCGTTAACAAATCATTGATTTCGCGAGCTGTTCGATCAAATGCTGTCATATTACAGTGCTAATGTTTATACATTTTAACGATTATTTATCGGCCACACGCGACAATAATGTTACCGTTACGGCTGAAAAAACATTTTTCTAACCGATATTCACAGTTTATCCATTGTTCATCATAAATAATAAATAGAGTATGCGTAAGTCCATGCACTCGCGGTTTTCACAATTAAATATAAATAAATACACCGCGTGGAAAAACGTTGAAACGAACATTTCTCGTATTTTATGAGTACAATTTGAATATAGGGACGAGGAAAGATACACTTTAAACACTCGGAGCAAAATAAACACGTACAAAATAGATTAACTCGAGTGAACAAAACGCGATCATATCAGTAGTCACTATATCGTTACCGCGAAGTCTAACAACGAACAAATTAAAATTAAAATCTAAACAAAGATTTGGTATAATACTTAAACCATTTTCGTTTTGGATGTTTTTCAACCGAAACGTGTGTACACTACTGTACTCCTTCTACCGACGTATATTAATATTACGTACCTACTAAGCGAAACGCGTTTGTTGGGTAACAGATGTTAGTATTTGAAAGGCAAATCTATTGCGTTGTTCGCTTTCACTCGGATCATCCTAACGTTACAAAAAAAAAAAAAAACAATGATTAATTTTACGTACACGTCCGTATTACGCGTTTTGGTCTCGGGGAACGAATCGTACGCATCGCGGCTTACGATCAATTACCATATTGACTATTTCCTTGCGTGATTTCTATGCGTATCGTACCTACGCAAATATTGTTCAATATAAAAATCCGCTTTTTACTGTACGATTTGTGTTGCTGATACATTGTGAGCATTCGTTAACCGTACGCGTCAGCGCAATGTTTACCGAGAATATTTTCTTTCGTTATAATTGTTCCTTTTTTTATTCCTCCAACAATGAGTTCATTGTTGTTTGAAAAATGTGCACTACTTTCATTGTAATATTATACTGCTGAACGCTAAGGTTTTTTTTGTTTCCTCGGTCGTATTTAGTGTTTTCGTAATTCTATTACTCTCTTAATGTATTTTAGTTTTGGTGTGACGTTCTGTTTCTGAAATTGCAACGCTGACGCAACCCATAATTTATTATACTTAGGACATACCCTGTGACCCGAAGTCGCGAAGCAAACGTTACAATTAAAATAAACATTATTTTCATCCGTTTTAACTTCAGTTTCACTTGATTGGTCGTAATGGTCATTTTATAAGACCCAAGTGGTCCGTCGAATGAAACAAATGTTCTACGATTTATAATCATCGGCACACGTCGTGCAAAGTGTTTTGACATCGGTCGGTTCGGTACAACTCATCGACGTAGAAATGTAGTGCACATACTGCGATAAGGTATATAATACTTACATATTCGATTAGTCTGATACCCGTACGTGATGTGAATACGAGCAACGTGTGTATTGTAATTATTTCAAGTTTGTCACATCGTAATCGCATACCCAACGAGCATTTCGCAATTGATTTATTGATATTCGTACGTCACGTGCGGAGACGTATTTTAACCTGCGCAAATTAATATGTATGCAGCATCAGCTCGGGGAGGATAATATAAAGCGAAGAGGGTGAAAAATATCGTCCGAAAATGGAGGCAAAAATGCACCCTACGTTCTAACGGTAAAAGCTTAATAATTTCAAATCACTTTTCTGGCCTGATAATGTTTTAATACGGCTGCCCGTGAAGTGATTCGGAAACGTTTAATAATCCATACGCACTGTATAAATGTTTATGAATCAGTTTAAATTTAAATATATCAAGGTCAGTGGCGAGTAGAGGTGGCAACGATGCATCGAAAATATCGATCGTAAAATTATTTTACCACGTTAATACACGTGCATTTACCACAATCGTTCAACGTAAGGCATTTCTTCTGAAACCAATCCCGTCTTTGTTGTACATTTCGTATCATTCAATCGCTTACCCTATTGGTTTTTCAGCTCTCTTTGTTTGTTATGGTATTTTTGACTAATAAGTTAAAAGTCATCCTTAGTCGGTCTAAACTATATCACATACAAGACCAATAACCGCCCGTGGCATGCTGACCTTATTCGAATCACAATTGAAAAATAAAGAATGATAAATTAACTAAGGTCCTTAAATATCTAAATTTGCATTTTTCTCGCGAAATCAAAAACTACGCCAACCTCAGTCTTAGTCTATCAACTCTGAAGTTGATCAAATATCAGTATATACGTAATTTCTCGACTTAAATGGTAACAAACGTCGAAAAACCGGCGAAAGTCTACTACTACAGCGATTTTCAAGGAAATTACATCATTCACCACTTTGACGTCCATAAAATTTATATTATATAAATAAGTATATTTATTTATTTATATTAACTATATAATACTGGAATTCGGTAACGGGTATTGATAGTGGTGGCAGAAGTTTTAAAAATCATTTACAATCGGAGGGGAAAACAAAGAAATAAAATAAATCGACCATAATTTGCAACGGGAAAAAAATACTGCGTTTCGTTTTTTTTGGTTTTTTTTTATACTTTACTCCAGGAAATTTTCAATATCGGCCGCGTGCTGTTCATCCAGTTGATACTGTGCTGTTTTTCCGTCGCAGAGACGCTGTGCAATGCGATTTCGATTGGGTGTTGCCCGGTTCGCGTACTACGGTCGAGGGTGGAACGACTATGTAACATGAGCACGTGACGTATATCAGGGACAGACGGCCGCAGTTCGTCCCGTTCGCCGGCCGAAAAGGGGTGATGGGTAATGGGCGGAGGGGTCAGTAGGGGAAGGAAAACAACTGGAACAAATCACTGAGCCCACCCGGATGCACACGTATGCGACATTTTTTGAGTGGGGGTTATACATTTTTCTTCGGGAGATAATACCCTCCCAGTCATCACCTCTCCCCCTTTCCCGCGGAAATAAACTCTGGTCGTGTACACCTGACGACAATTATGTTGTTTCGTATTTTTGCACCACACGTGTAAACATCCGTTTCTTTTACCCGGGGTCGCGGCGACGTGTATTTCGCTTTTATCTAAATGATATATTTACGAAACTGTCAAACAGATAAGTCTGAAACGAAAAGTATTTACGTGTAACGTTTTCCTGCCGATCGTTTACGCAAATCTGCGGTGCACCATCGATAACGATTGCTCCGTTATACGGGACCGACGAAAAAGCAACTAGAAAATTCAAAAATATAAATTAAATAAAACTCGTCCTCGCGTCAACGTTACGAAATCTCGGCCGAGTTGACGCAACGTTCGACGTCATCGTTTTTAATTTAACCGCGTCTAACAGCATATAAAACGAAAACTCGTAGTATGAAAATACAATAGGTGGTTAAAGAATCATTCGCAATAGTGTTTTGTAATTTTATCGTTGTTTAGTCCAACGTTTAGCGAACACGGCCATGAACATTATCGAATGTGTGAGCGTAAAGATGCGCGGAGCTAATGTATTCAGCAGCGTACAGATAGGGGAAAACGGTCGAACTCACGAATCCCTGTTCGCGACCGGACTGTCGCGCGATCCGTTACGTGCGCGAAGCGAAATGACGGTATATGTTTGCGACCTCGCGACACGTCAGCAACATGCCGCGGCGCTCGGTCGACAGAAGCCGGGGATGGGACTGCACGCGGACAAGAACGAAGGACACGAACGTCGACGAATATTCAAAGGACGACTTGCGTATGGGAGCCCCGTACTCGTCTGGACAACGGAGGACCAAGGCGTTGTTCGAACGACAGGCTTCGAACGAGAACTTAGAGAAAACATAAAACTTCTGTCGCACCTATGCGTCATTGTGTATCGCGATTGTTGGCTTGAACAATAATATTCGAAAACCAAACTCACCGGAGCTGTACGAATCGGTTGTGAGCACAATCGTGACTTAAACAGTCGTCAGCAAATCCATACAATATCCAGTAAACATCCTGCAATATCTGGTACGTCCGACTGCGCCTTACGAAAATCGCTTCCAAAATCCAACCCTTTACCCGGGTCAACAGCCGTTGAGCGTTCCCTCGCTTGCTTCCCTTCCCATGTCCAAGCGCCGTTTTCGTTTACGCCAACGTTGAAACCGATTCGTGCATCAGTTCTTAAAAACTATATACTATTCATACTAATGTGTGATGCGGTTTCGGTCGAACTCTAAACAATTAACGATGGTTTTTGTTCTCGAAATGTTTTACGTAAACATGATTGCGCGCAGACAATTGTAATCAGTATCACGGATGTTTTCCTGTAGATCATTGTTTTGATGTACCTACGAGTCATTGTTGAACAGTATTGGTCGATCGAAAATTACGTCAAGACGTATTCTTCACTACTGAACAACGTTCGTGTACAAATGCAACAATACTCGATGTTCTATTCGATTTTCACGAAAACACGATCAACGATCCGATTATGCAGTACGTCGAATATGCACGTGTTTCATAACGGACATCACGTTCGCACTGGTGTTAGAACCGGTTGGTTTAGCCGTTGAAAAATAACATTCTTTGAAACCAGGCAGACAATAATGTCTGGCCGTAGACATATCACTGCGTTCGTGTTTAAAAACGCGATACAGAAAACCGAACGCGTGTACGACCAGATGCCTGGACGAATGATATTAATTAAACGAACGACACGAATGCAGTGTCGTGCAGAGAAGGCGAATGCACTTAGATGTGTATTGAAGTCCGCGGAATTAATTAGACTTAAAAGATTAGAGACCTAACGGGTGTCGGACGAATGATTTTTAGATGAAACGTGCGAAGCGCTTTACGAAAACGACCGAAAATCCTATTGACCCGACGCGTAGTGTACTGTATTCGTATTTTCCTAATGATCGAGTTGAAATGTTTAATCCGTATAGCGGATACTCTTCTTATCTCGTTCGACGGACCCTTTCAGTCCGTCCACCGAGTTTTTCGGACAACTCACGCAGATGCGATTTCCGTCGTGGTCGACAAAAGATTCGTCTTGATAGAACGCGGTGACGTGATGGCAGAGGTGGAACTAGGAATTTTTACGCCAGGGGAAAATGTCGAAATTACGCCCTATCATAGAACAACAATAAAATACTCTTCTCCAGAATTTTTTCTAATAATTAATAAACAATCATACTTACTGAGTTTTAACCTAATAACATTATTTTACAAAGTTAATATCAAATCCTCCCCCTAGTTCCACCTCTGCGTGATGGCATTTACGTGCTGAACAATTGCGCATCGAGAGATACCCCGTTCTACGCATTAGTGCTCGTACGCAGAGCGCGACAAATATTCGGCGTGTCGACCGGACTATTCGAAACATTCGATACTTATTTTTTTTTTCGTATCGGTTAGAAGAAAATAGTATGATCGATATCGCAACGATGCAACTTTTTGACAGAAGAAGCGTTTCGATAAAAAAAAAAAAAATAAAACCGAACCCGGGCGTTTTAACCGTCCTGGAGTACGGACTACGAATGGGCGTATC